CAGAAATTCTAATCTGTTAAAGCTGGCCACACCTGTTCAGGCTGTTAAAAAAGAACCCAAAGCCTCCCAAGCTGTTTACTCAAGTGGTCTTAACTAGCCAGCTCGGTACCTCTGCCTTACAATCACTCTTCAAAAAGAAGATCAGGACAAGATAACTTCATAAAGTCACCGTATTGTCATACAGCTGTTAGTACAATTGGACAAGTCAGATCACAGAATGAAATCTAGCTTAATAGATCATATGTGTTTTCTGTTATTTAGTGAATTAATGTGCAGTTAGTGATAAGACATGCAAGGCTGCAAATTTTCTTTCAGAACTTAACAGAAATTTATTACACCTAAGAAAATGCAAACAAATCTCGTGACAATTAGAATGATCTCAAAGCACACAGCAAAACGAACACTCAGTATGCTCCCTGACACCATCCATTATGGAAACCCAAATTCAGAGAAATTACACCTCCACCAATCCCCACCACCATCCACCACTGCCCAACCACTAAAACTCTTTAAGGATCCTGAAAGTTTCTTTGCTGTTTGCATTAATAATTAACATCATGCTTGGGAACATAGGAGCAGGGTTAGGACATTTAGCCCATCATGCCACATGACCATTCAATAAGATAATTGGCTGATCTTCTTATGTAGGACTCAACTCCATTTTCCAGTCTGTCTCTCCATAGCCCTTGACTCTGTTGTCGATTAAAAATCTGTCCAACCCCATCCAGAATAAATTCACTGACCCAGTGCTTTCTGGGGAAGAGAATTCCACTGATTAATACTCCTCTGAAAGAAAAACATTCTCCTCAATTCCCTCTTATTCTTAAACTGTGCCCCTTGTTCTTCTCATGTTCTCCTCAAGTTCTCCCTCTCGTGCCTCCCACAAGAGGAAACTTCCCTCCTGTATCCACCCTATTGAGCCCCCTCTATCTTACTATTGACCTCTTTCGTAAGAACTGAGAGTACTGCACTGTCAGAGGTCGTGCCTTTCAGATCAGATGTTGGAGTGAGGCCCTGACATCAGTCTCCAGAGGGTGCAAAAGAGCCCATGGCACTATTTCGAAAATGAACACTGGAGTTATCTCTGGCATCCCAGTCAAATAATTATCCCTCAATCAAACATCACAAAATCAGATTATCTGGTCATTATCATAGAAACATTGAATCTCTACAGTGTGGAAATGGGCCATTCGTCCCATCAAGCCCATGCTGACCCTCCGAAGAGCATACCACCCAGACCCATCCTGCTACCCTATCTCTGTAATCCTGCACTTACCATGGCCAATCCACCCTGCCAACATATCCCTGGACACTATGTGCAATTTAGCATGGTCAATCCACCCTAACCTGCACACCTTTGGACTGTGGGAGGAAACCGGAGCACCTGGAGGAAACTCACACAGCCACGCATGGTTTCACTATGTGTGGGATCTTGCTGTGTGCAAGTCAGCTACTGTGCTTCCAACATTACAACAGTGTCTACATAATAAACCTGCATCCCTGGTTAACTGGCCCTTTCTGACCCTGCAAAATGTCTCGTGCAGTTGACACAAATCATTACGGAGACAGTAGGAACTGCCGATGCTGGAGAATCTGAGATAACAAGGTGTAGAGCTGGATGAACACAGCAGGCCAAGCAGCATCAGAGGAGCAGGAAAGCTGA